ATATATTTATTTTGGGCGATGGCTTTAAAAGCAAAGAGAGTAAACGAAACTCTCGGGACACATGAGAACCTGCATGAAACTATTTGGCAACCTGCATGTCGGCACAAACATAATTTAAAACTTGTATGGCACTTGAGAATTGCCACTCGGACGAATTGCAAGAGAGTCAGATTAATCATGGCAAGTTACTCAAGACACAAAAATTAACACATAGTATGCGAAGGGGCAAATCATATCTAACAGATCACTTGTCTCATTTGTGTAGGGATCATGAATAAGTGAGAGATCCTTATTACAATGAGGTGTTGCACATGCAAAAATAGTAAATGATTTGAATTATAGATGAAGGTCTTAGCCAAACATTGCATAATTAGCGCAAGCGTCCCGTTATTAGTCAATGAGAATCGCATGCTAGCCCGTTGGGGACAAATTTCAATCTTCCTTGACTCAGAGAGCACTCAAGGCTTGTTTGGATCAGACCCTGGACTACTTTTGCCTGGATTTGCAGCTGCCTGGAGTCTGCCTCTGAGGTGTTTGGTTGGAGCCCTCAAATGATGACTGGACCAGGCAAGGGCAACGTGAGCCAGGCGACCGAATTCGATTGCCTGGGTAATGACGCGGTTGCCTGGCATGGAAACAGTGATCAAGGTAAAAGGGAACCATATCATATCACCGTGTAGTTTTTGTTTTGTATATTTTATATTTTCTATATTCTTTATCCCTTTCGTTGATCATGTTCACGCTAAATTAGCAGTGTGAGCAGTGTCAATTATCGTCCTTTCTCATGCGTTTTTTCTTGTGATGTTTTTTAAATATCTAGCAAATCTATTAAATTTATTTATAATTTGAAATATATTATTAATTGAGAAAATATGTGGATCATTTTTTTATTTATTTATTTATTGTTTATACATTATAACATTAACGTATGTTTTAAAGATGGTATTATATCTTTATTAGTCTATCCAGGCACAGGCTTCCAACCAAACATACACTTGCCTGGCCAAGCAAAAATCATCAACTTTTCAGACAACCCTTTTTACCAGACAAGTCTTCCACGTCTCCAACCAAACAGGCCCTCAATACGTTGGCGATATGAATGTTTGGGTACCCAGTTAAAAGTTCCGATGATAACATTTTTTAGGGAATCTCGATAGCGTAGCAGTTGCACGGCGAGAAGCCATGTACCGGGCATACGCGACAGTAGTGTAAGACGATGTCGCGCGCACAGTTGTGGCAATATCCATTGGGATTGGGAACCATCCTGAGCTGGACCAAGAGCTCCAGCTCGCCTGCGCGCAGCTTGGATGCCATGAGGCCCCGCAGCCGGTCGGGCAACATGACGTGGACCTGAGACAGCGCGACCTTCACCTCCGCCGACGCGCCCTTGTCCACGTACAGTAGTTGAAACAAGTGGCCCAAGCCAAGGACCGTATGGCCGTAGGACGACACGGTGGCGGTGGCGTTCTCCCAGCACATCTTGGAGTCCATGGGGTTGTCCACGCGGAGGGTGAGGTCCAAGGCCGGCTGGATCAGCGGGCTGCGCTGGGGATCCAGCCCTCCGACGACGTCGCTCACCATGACGGAGAAACTGGGAGTCCTCTTGGCGGCCGGCCGGCCTCATCGCGCTGCTAATAGCCCACGCCACAGCCCCGATCAAAGCAAAAGGAAGGCAGAAAAACAAAACGGCCAAGATGGTCCGTCGTGTTTTGTCCTCTGTCGTCGTCTCCTCTCCGGAGGCGGCGGCGGAGGCGGAGGGATCTGCCATCATATGGCTAGCTGTTGGTTCGCGAGTCCGATGAAGACGACTTTCAGTAGCGACGGATATATAAAACCACGATTTTAATCAGCAGGTTCCGACAATAACGACGATGACGAGCTCTGCAAGAAACTATGGGTGTTCCTGCTCATCCTACCCACTGGCGGAGGGTAGTGGAGGCCAAACTGGGTTGTGGCCCCCCCTTGCTCCATGCATACCTGCAGTTTTGTTACCTGTTGCTGCCAAAAAAAAAAAATCAAACTGTTGCCGCCGCTATTTGGAGAAGATGAACAGGTCCAGGGCTTCGTTTCTTATTGCTTTACCAACGATTGTATCCACGCACGGTGGCCCAAAAACAAGCTGTCCAGAGCTAGCAAGTCTGCCATTGCTCTCTGTAGCAATAGAAATTGCCCCCGCTTGATTTGGTGCTGTGCTCCGCCACTGATCCTACCTGCGGTCTGCTTCTCGCTTTAGGTGCTCTTCACAATCATGAAGGAGATCAGAAGGATAGAGTTCTCCATCGAGCCCATCGTCTACACCGGCCTCACTCGGCCGCCGCCGGCCCTGCCGCCGTCCTTCAACGTGACGTTGCGCGCGGGGAGCAACCACTACGTGAAGGCCAAACTGTTGCTGTTGCGTGACCGGATTTATCGTCAACAGGTTGCTAGCTAGCTCATACTGTGTGTTGTTAGTCCAGTTACAAAGTGGAAGTTGAAGGGTATGAGGGAATAATAAGACGTTATTTGACTCTATAGAATTCTCTAGTTTTTGCTACATGACAGATGAGTTTATTGAACAGCACAGATATGCTGCTCTGACATATTTTGTCCTGATTCAATAGACCATAGTGATCTAAAAAGAACAGCCAGCACATGCATAAAAGTGGGTTTGATGAAGCACATCACATACAGCAAGCAACAATGCAACCAAAGAATAATGAAAGAAAAACAGTCATGTGTTCAAAGAACTGAAAATCATGCAGCAGTCAAATAAGCATTTTCCTTATTTCAATAAGCAAGAAGCAGATAAATCTGTGCTCCATCAGCTTATTGTCCACCAATCATTTCCCATCTCTTTGGGGACTGGAATGCACGATTTAGGTGTTGAAAATCAGAAAACATTACGGCTAAACAAGTTAGCACATCACAGGTCAGGATGACTCAACAATCAACATCAACGACGACATAAAACATAGCTGTCATCGTAAACAAAAAAAATAGATCTAACAAAAAACAAATTTCAGCAACCTTGCATATGCAATTCAATTCAGTAATCAAATTGTACAGTTTGATATTATAATTCCTTGCAGCAGAAAAATAAGCCCTATGCTGAAAGCACGGTGAAGCGTACCAGTCGAACAAGCATTTTCGAACAATTGAATATAAGTGTCGGTGTTTCGAGTAAACATCAACGAGTAAATTTGTATTATTACGCGTCTGGCCCGGATGGTGTGCTAAAAAGACACAAGATTTATACCGGTTCGTGCAGAATGTCCCTACGTCTAGTCCGTGATTGTTGCTCGTGTTATTAGCACTAAAAAGTTCGTAGTAGGGGTTACAAACGGGCGAGAGAGAAACAGGTCCTAGGTTTCTGATGGAAAGGTCGAATAGGTGCTGAGAGTTTGGTTGCTGCTCATCTATGTGTTCGAGATTCGATGCTAATGGTTCTGCTGTGATCTAGTGAAATCGATCCCCTTAGTGGGGTGCCCTGCTTTCCCTTTTATAGGTCAAGGGAGAGCAGGGATTACAGATGGGAGAAAAAATAAAGAAAACCAGAGACAAAGGACGTCCTTCAAGGATGTCGGGTCTTCCTTTTCCTCTGTGTGGAACCCGCTGACATGGCAGGCGGTGGCAGGGATAGCCCCACGCCGGGCGCATGTCCGCTGACCCTGACAGGGCTGCGCTGAGCATCTGTTCGCTGACGATGCCATGTCCTGGCATTGTCAGCGAGTTGTCAAGTCCCATCCCGCCCCGGCGGACGGCGTGGCGGACCAGGGTGCTGATCCGCGGCCATACAGGGAGCAGACGACGCAGTGACCGCACGTCCGTTACTGTAGGTGATGCGAGTTTCCTCCAAGACCGAAGCTGTTGTCGTGAGCTTCCGTCAGGATCCGTGCCCGAGGGAAAATGGCGACGCCCACAACACTGTAAAACAAATATCGGCGCGTACAATACTGTTTGTGCTCTATCATGGCTGGAAGGTCGCAAAGCGCCCTTCTGTCATGTCCTGACGGTACTTTCCTGTAGGCGTGCAGGGTACGGTCCTTGGTATTGCGGTTGACTTATCTGCGCGCGTCGTTATGAAGGAGTCGCGCGCAGACATCGAGCGAGGCAGAGCCGACCCTCGGACGTCGAACGAGGCGGAGCCAGCTCTCAGACGTCGGGCGAGGCGGAGCCAGCCCTCGAACGTCGGACGAGGCAGAGCCTGTCCTCAGACGTTGAGCGAGGCGAGCCAACCCTCGGGAGTTAGCATGAGGCGGAGTCAACCCTCGGGGGTCGGACGAGACGGAGCCCGCGGCCGCAGCGCCCACCGAGGCAGAGCCAACCCTCGAGGGTCAGACGAGGCAGGGCCCATGGTCTCGGTGGCTGGACGAAAAGGGACCTGGCAAGTGGTGTAGTCGCGCTCTTGATCGCGCGGACGAATCAATGTTGATGGTCATTAGCTCCTTCTCTTCGGGTACCCTAATATTGGTCCCCGATAATAAGGGACACAAGATAAGGTTGTGCTCCAAGGGATTGTTTTCCACTAATCATCCCTATCCGTTTCTTGTGGACTGAACTGAATCATCTATATTTAACACATCTTGGATGTTGAAAGTCACAAAACAACACAGCTAATGCAGTTAGTGGATGTGGACTGAACTGAATCATCAGTATTTAACACATCTTGGATGTTGAAAGTCACAGAACAACACAGCTAATGCAGATAGTGTAACAAGGGGGTAACTCAACAAAACTGGCATAAAATGAAGGTAACATAAACATGAAATTAGTTCCAAGAACAAAGAGCAACAACCTCCATGTATATGCAATTTGATTCAGTAACCAAATTGCACAGTTTGCTATCATCGTTGCCATTATAACCATAATGCCACAAAATCACAAGATAAGACGATTAGGATCATAGACACACACAGTTCAACAACCAACATTACGGAAGCAAGATCATCAATCACAAAAGAGGATATGTGAGCATAGCACCTTCATAAGGTTTGACATCACCACGCGTAGATGGCATGACCTCACTTGCTGGCAGCTGCAAGCTCGGCATCAATGGCACTGTGTGCAGTGTCAAGATCCTCGTCGAGAAAGATATCCCAGTGGCCATCCCAACGGATGAAGAACTCTGTGTCCTCGAAGTACTTGACCCTGTGCACATCCCCGGCAGGTGTGAAGAGGAAATCTCCGTCCACCAGGTCGTAGCTCTCCTTCTTGGTGAGGTTCCAGACCTTCTTCTTGCCCTTGATGACCACCAGGTCGTGGCCAAAGGTGTGGTGGTGCGCTGGCTCCACACTGCCAGCCTTGAACCGGACGTACGCCGAGGTGGGGCTCTCCCGCACGATCCGCATCTCGCCGCCGGGCATAATCCCCACCGGCTCGAACTCCATCCCGCTCCTGAGGCAGCAGATGGCGCAGGCCGAGTCCGGGGCGCCCTCCGCCGCCTCCGGGATGGCGGCCATCTCGTCCGGCGCGGTGTCGAAGAACCGCTGGATGTCCTCCGGCCAGGGCGCGTCGCCGGAGGCAGGGCAGGGGGCGCGGAAGGGCGTGGCGAGCCAGGCGTCGGCTATGGCGGCGGCGGCGTCGGGCGGCGTGGCGCTGCCGGAGAGCGCGAGGACGTTGCAGGCGTTGATGGAGCGGGTGTTGACGGCGTCGGCGGGGGAGGCGCAGTGGGTGGCGTAGACGCGCGGGTACTTGTTGGCGAAGATGCAGACGCCGGCGCCGGTGCCGCAGACGACGACGCCGCGGACCTCGGGGGCGTCGGGCGCCGAGTCGGGAGAGGAGACGTGTCGGGCGACGGCGGCGGCGGCGGCGTAGTACTTGTCGACGCCGAGGTCAACGACCTCGGCGACGGCGGGGTGCGCGCGGAGGTGCGCGACGACGGCGTCCTTGAGCGGCTGGCCGAAGCCATCGGCGGCTGCGAAGATCTTGAAGCGGCGGTCGGCGGCCATGGAGGTTGATCTGACCTGACCGGACTCCGAAAGCGAGAGAAGACTGAGGAGCGAGGACTGAGGATTTTTTTTTTTTTTTTGATAGGGAGGACTGAGGATTTTGGAGCAAACCGAAGGTGGATGGATGCGGATTTACGGCGTGTCGCTCGTGCACCTCGGACCGTCTGACGGACGGGAAAGAGCTGTCACTGTCAGCTTTCACTTACACGCGGGACCGGGACCGGGACAGCAGGTGCAGTTGGGGGGGAGTCCGGAACTCTCCGGAGTCCGGATGCAGCTGTGGATGCAACAATTTCGATAAAGAAATGGAATTATCCTGGAGAAACCTTTAGATGACTTGGATCAGATCAAGATTCCACTACCACTAATGGTTCGTCTACGTGGCCAATAAACTCTTTATTTTTATATCACTTCTCCTATATTTCAGATGCTTAAATTTTAAGATAATTTCAGTCAATGCTCTTGTACCAACAACTAATACAAGTATATTGTTACTTTTGTGATTTGTTATTTGTCTTTGTATCATAATATTTTAATTTTTCCTCCTTGCCTACCTATAAAAATAATTATTAATTATTAATTATCTTTGTGCCAACACAAATTAGATTTTATTAGATTTGTGATTTTGTCAAACGGGTTTTTATTTTTGATACTGAGAACCATTCTAGGACTTCTCCTGACATGCAAAAAGAGTAATTAAGAGTCTATTTGACAGAGCTCTACCACTAAAAGATAAAACACATGGATATAAAATATCAACTTCATGCATGGAGCAGCTCCATCGAGAATTTATGCTTCCATCATGGAGTGAGAAACCTGTTTGCCTCGCAACGTAACTCCAGTTCTAGGAAATGCATGTTTTGGAGGAAATGTCACTTATGCTCTTGGAAGATTGTATGCTAGATTTTTTTTTGACATATCCAGTATACGTGAGGGGTTGATATTGGTTTAAATAAACTTCATAATTATTATTTTTCTATAATTGTAATGAAAACAACACAAATACAATTGGCCTTATTCTTCAATTATGATATAAGTTTTCTGCATGACATACAGGATTTCATTGGAAAAACTAAGACCATGCTAGCAGTGAGCGTGAGTGGATAGGGGGCCAATATGATGTAAAATACAAGAAGAGGAGGGTATATTAATATTTCATTAGCAACTAAAGTAGCAAAGCTAAGACTTTCATTAAGAATTGATTTAGCTTAGGGGGCAATGACCCACTATGGTCCTCACTAAGCTCTGCAAGTGCATATCAGGACAATAAGACTACTGCCAAGGAGTACATATCCATCGCTCCCACCCCTTCCGATGCTCCCAATTGAAATAACTCCATCCAAATGTATCCAAAAAGTTCCAAGTTGGATCTGGACTCGGGCTGACCCTGTCCGTGTCCAAGCCCATGCCCAGGCTCAGTCCATTCGATCCATAGCATTTGTTAGACGACTCAGGTTTTTTCTTTGATCCACAACACACGTAGGTGCTTGGGCTCGCTCGCATCGCCGACGGGCGAGGGGCGGCGGCGGCGGCATCGCACGGAGGGCTTGGCGGCGGCGGCGCACGGAGGGGCGGAGGGAGCCGAGGCGAGGCTGAGGCCGGAGTGTACCGTGTGTGCGTGTGCTTTCATCCTCCCTCCTCAGTTTAATTCCCTTCATGTTTCGATTACGAAAAAAGAAACTTTATTTCGTGTTTGGGTTAACAATGGATAGGGATTCCTTTCGTGTTTCGTTCCGTCCTACACATGAAATCTGGCCCTCCGTTGAATCTCTCCGTCAACGCCTCCCCTGCTGGGCTGCTGTTAATCTTGTTGCATGTCAGCTTCTCCAGTTCGGCCTTCAGAACAATTTTGATTAAGAACAAGAAGCTCAATTGCCTCTTTGATTCAGAAGATGCACCAGGACAGCAAACATCCATATCTGCAATTTTGATTGCGCACTAGACTACATTAGCAAACGCAGTTTTAATAAACAGTCTAAAATGGTTTCTCCTCTGAACCCGGAGCTGGTCTGTGTCAGCAGCCACCCTCTCCTGAATACTGAAGGCGCCCCTGATCCTGAAGGAGGTGACGATGTCATGGGCCGGCCCAAGATGCAAATTAGCCAAATTAAATCATATCATACTATGCAGTCTTCAAAATTGTTTGGAGCAAGCACCTGCAGATAGGTATAACTTGAGAAAAAAAACACTTGTATTTCAGCTAAAATTTCATTTTAGAGGAAACGTAGCTGTAAATTGGTCTCCTTAGTTACGTTCCATGGTTAAAGAAACTACGCTTTAATTCATAAGGACTCTGGATGAACGACTCTTGAGGAGGGCTTTTTTCTGAGGTGGTGGATCAAGGTAGAGGCAGCAAAAAAATGTTTAATTCTTTTTCTCTATGCAAAAGTTCTTTGGACATTGTGGAATACAAGGAAGGATGCAGTTTTTAACAATCAGATCTTGAATTCTCCTTCGACGGTGATCCACAAGAATAGGCGGCAGTTGCTAAAGCCGAAGAATCTAGAGATGGCTGATGAACTACTGGAGAAACTAGTGCAGGGAGAGATGTAGCATGTGGTGACCCTGTTTTTTCCCCTAAGTTGAGTCTGTAAACTTTGTGCAGAGTCAAGTGATCTTTTGGTCATGTGTTGGTGGTCTTGGTCGTTCATTTGTAGTTCGTTAGTTGAGATGTTTCATTGGATTCATAGCTGTGCCAACGCCTGCATGCGTGTGCAATGCCAATTTGGTACCGAATTGTACGCTTTGTAATAAAGCCAGGCATGAGCCTTTGATCAATAGATAATAGCATACGTGAAAATACATGTGCAACCAACAGGGTAGATACAGGCTGAAAGTAACAGAGGTAGCTGTGCGAGAATTGCATGAGACCTGATTGATCGAGATAGCATGCTAGAGGGGATTTGAATAGTTTTTAAAAAAAATTAATTGTACCAGCTAACCGAAATAAATGCAGAAATAAAATTATCGGTCTAGCCAAGACTACATCCTCTATCTAAGTTCTCTAGCACCTTACAAAAATCCTAAACAAGCAACTAAGATGCCGAGGTAGATAGAGCTCACATAACCAATTTTAAGAGCAAGATCACACAAACATATGACACTAGTACTTCAAACAACGAGCGAGCTACTGCACATACTAGTAAGTAAAAGTACATAGTCACATAAACTCACTAACAATGCTCAATAACAAGATAACTAATGTCAAATTAGATAGCGTAAATTACTTAGCTACACAAACTAAGCAATGTGACTAACAAGGTTATAAAAATCAAATTAGCCACGCAAGGGAGCTACTTTTATGCTACACAAGCAAGAAGGTAACTAGCAAGCTACACAAGCAAACTAATTATAAGAGCAACTACACAAGCGCAATGTATATGAAAGTAAATACAAGCTTGTGTAACGAGGATGCTGTCGATGTTTTACCACCGATAGCCTGCCACGGGGGTACCCGGGACAGTTGTTCGGGCTTCGGCGAATAGCGGAATTCGGCGGTTACGCAAAGAGACTCACGATTTATACTAGTTCAGGCCCTCGACTTGGTCGAGTAATAACCTTATGTCCAGTTTTGGCATTAGCCTGTTTGCGTTGTATTGCTTTGAGTATCGGGTATGCGTTCTCTTCTTACAATGGGTACCCTCACCAGCCCTTTATAGTCCAGGCGCTGAGAGGCGTTGTTTGTGTCCTATTCGGATACAAGGTCAGAGTCCTAAACTACGCTTCGAGCGCCTTTTCTTGTATAGTTTGCGTTGGAGTTTCAGTTTTGCACGTTGCTTTGCTCCGCGTTCTTCTTGGCGATTGGGCTGTAGACCTTGTTACCAAGGCCTACCTCCCTGCAGTATGGTCTATGGGGGCCCGTAGGGTTCCCCATCGACAAGCCCCCGAATATTTCATGATTGAGCTTCAAGGGCCGAGTTGTTGTAGTCTTGATCCGGGTCCTTCTTGAAGTGAAATCTTGAGATGGTCTTCTTTGATTCTTCTTTTGGCTGATGTGCACTTTTGCTTGATGTCCTCCGGTTCTTTTTCCTTTGAGTGCAGTGAGTGCAATTTTCATTTAGTGTAGCCCCCGAGCCTTCTGTTTTTTTGTATAAAAAGCTGGAGGGTCAAAAAATTTGAAAATATGTTTTTCTGTGGTAGGTACTTGTAGCCCCCGAGCCTTCTTGGGTTCTTTTCTGTTGAAAAGAAGCCGGAAGAAGGGTCTTGATTTGTACTCATTTGATCTTTGTCTTTTGTTGGTCACGGATGGGTCTTATATAGCCATGAATGAGCGTCTTCTTTTACTTTTTGTCAGGAATCTTGATTTTGGGTACTATTCGCCTTTGTTGCTTTGCTCTTTTGTTCTTTTCCTCTTTCTTTCTTGTGATCTTTAGCCTTGTTTACCTCCTATAAATACCTTCTTTGTTGGTTGTGGTTCTTTCTTGAGTAGGAAATTTTTTCTTCAATTCTTTCTTCATTCGTAGATATGCTGGTGTGTGAGGTTGAGCAGCCACCAGTCTTATGCTTGCTTGGTAATGAACATGTTGCTCTATCTGTTCTTCTGCGTCCGGGCTGCCGCTGCTGCCGCCACTGGGTTCCTTGTTGCAATATTTAAGAATCTTGTCTCTATCTTATGTCTGAGTTTATCCGGTCCTGTTTGGCCGTCTGTAACCTTTCTATTTGTCTTCGATCAATGAGATGTATAATTTTTCTTTGTCCGAGTTCTTTTTCGACTGTAATCCTTTGACATTGTAATTTTGTATGTGATCCTTCATACGTCTCCGAGTTGTTTGTTCGGTTACTTATTGTTGTTGTCATTCTGGTTGTTGGAGAATTCAATGCATGTCTTCACGGGTTGTATTGTTGCTTGTGGAATATTCTCTTGGATATGCTTGTCCTTGAGTGTCGTTCTTTCACGCTAGAGTCCTCTTTTATTGAATTCTGTCTTTTCATTGTGTCCTTTGTTAGATTTCTTCTGTTGGTGCTCCTAGTCCATGTGCACCGCTTCTTTTGCCTATAAA